CCCCAAAACCCCAAAACCCCAAAACCCCAAGCACGAATATTGAATTTAAATATAGGAAAATTTATATAAACCAAAAACACTTTGAAATGAAAATCATAAATCTTTTGATTTCTACTAGCATTGGTACATTTCTAGGTATATTCTTGGCTTTTGGCATCAACTCAGTCCTGATACAGATATCAACCAATGCCTTTTTTAATGTCTACTATGGCATTCTGTTCTTTGTATTCGGAATCTCACTACTCTATAGAATCAACAACAAAAACAAGATTCAAAGTCTAGCCACAGGTGGGAGTAGTGGAAGCAATGGAAGTGAATAGAATACTGAAAATGCAGGAGCAAGTACACAAGGCTCACTCAGTAATCCTAATTAGAGTTTCAATACTTTCTTGTTTCCTCAGTTTGGTACCTCTAGCTTGTTCAAGGATTAAAAACAAGATAATCAGTAAAATGTAATGCAGCAGACAAAAGATTTGATATAGTTGCGATAGCAGATGCAAACCTAGAACCAATCAAGTAATGCCTTTATTTACAGCTCTCAACTCGTACATAACCCCTCCCTTTCAGTTGAATCGTGCATGCTCTCTTCGGAAAGCAATCGCCGCATGGTCAAGCTAAATTCGATAATCTAGGTGCTCTTTTCAATTTTCTTGTTTTGCTCTTCACTCTTGTGCTTTACCTTAGAAAAGGACTGGTTTAAAAACATTCCAGCTAAGAGTAAGATTCCCAGCTATGCACTCTTTGGAGTCTCTCTAGCCTTCACTTTCATCTATGCCATAGTGGATTTTATCTAGTTTATTAAGGACTATTTCACGCAGACTTATTACACCTACTACACTCCTCTGTCCAAATCAAAGGAGCCACTTTAAAACCAACAGATAATAGTCAGTAATCTACAGATATACCTGCTTCTATCTATGTCCTTCATTATTGGGGCATTATTCGGTGCAATATTTGGAATTGTTGATGTCGAAGACTATTATAAAAATAAATTTGTGCTCTATACTGTTCTTCAAACTGAAATTTCTCTTTGTGAGCCAATTGGAATATTGCTAGGAGCATTTACTGGGTTTATGCTGGAATTCTTGAGATAGCAAGAAATTATGAATAGAACAGATGAACCAGTGATAAAGCAATTTGCAGATAGCGATGAAGAATCTGAGGGGATGCTTGATCAGCAATCACTCAAGACTCTCCCACAAAGAGCCACTAACATTGAAGATCCAAATACTGAGTCTGATGAGGAGGAGAATAATGAAGAGTTATCATCGTTAATAAAAATCTGATAAAGTAAAAATTTGTGTATTAGTTCTTCTTAATTGATTAGTTATATACATTAATTAAGATAAAGATATCAAATAAATGATTGAGTGATTTAGTAGCTACTGAGTCATGACGAGGAGAAGGATATCATTAATCAGTTAATATCATCTAAAATAGCTAGTTTAGCCTTTATTGCATCTATAAGCATTTCATTGACTTCCAATGTTTCATCTATATTTCTTTCATCTTTGACTCCTCCCATCGTTGCCCCAGCCATAGGATGCATAGATTTTTGGTTGCCTCCACTCTGCATATTGTCATTGTTTGCCTTTGCATTCATAAGTTACTCCTTCCTCAATGCGAGTTCCTCAATCTCTCTGGCTTTTTCCTTAATTTTCAGAAATTTCTCCTTCTTACTCAGTTTCTTCAGATTCAAGCTTTTTAACCATGATTCCTTGATGCCAGTTGATATGTTCTTTTCTCTCTTCAACCTTCTCTCCTTCAAATAATCAGTTTGAGGCTTCTTTTAATCAGGATTGGCTTTATTTTCAATATTTTAGATTGTCTTAAAAGCGTTATGCAGCGGTGGTTTCGCTAATAGCCCATTATTTCTTTGCATTTTCCTTTTCAAGCTTAGACTTCGTTCATTCGAATGTCCATTGGAGTCTTCCTGGATATTAATGTTGTTATTTGGAATGTCTTCGTCCCCATTCTAGTTTATTGATATGTTCCGACTATGATTAGCCCCACCCCTACTCGAACTTCGAGTTCTTTTTATAGCTGATATATCTGTCCCTGGTGGATACTTTCGAGAACTTCTTACAGGATGTTTTAGAGAACTTATCATTTCTTGTAACTCTTATTCTTTGCCTTTATTTCTTGGAGGTAAATGCATCTCTCTTACATACCTGGCATAGCTCTCTTTCTTTTCAATAAGCAGTTTCTTCATTTCTTCCTTAGTCTCTAACTCTTCTTTTTGTTGCAGGTCATAGAGGGCTACTTCTTGATATGTTTTAGTTTTGAATTTATTTGGATCATACTATGATTCAAACTATTATAATTAGTCTTCTCTAATCTTTAATTTTTCTTCAAGTTTTTTTTCTCTATCATCCTCATACTTCCTGGCATGTTCCTCAAACTCTTCTCTTTAAATCGGCCTTTTAAACTACCTTATCTATTGCAAAATCATTTTTCTTTTATTTAATTGTTCTGATTCGTAGGTTTTTTTGAATTTATCTTCCATTTCTAGGAATAAAGGAACTTTCTAATATAAAGGTGTGCTGTTTGTAGTCCCATTCGCACTCAGACTCATTTAGCTTCTGTGAGGATTGTAGTTAAATACCTAGACTTACTTTTACTCTGACCATTCTCGCTGCCTTCGTTCACGCTCCTCCCTCATTAGTTGCATTTTTATCTTGATCTGTTCTCGACGTTGCTCAATTTCTCTTTGCTTTTTCTCCTCGTCTTCCGCTCGTCTTTTTAGCACATCCTAAAAATGATCTTACTCCATCTTTATGATCTCCTCCTCCTTATGTCTAAACCTCTCCATTCTGCCAATTTTTTCTTTTTTCAACTTCTTTATTAATTCTTAAGCTGCTTACATTTGTTCTTAGCAATCTTCTGGTTTCAATTTCATCATTTGTAGAATATAAGCTTTTTTCTTCAATTGCTCTGGGGTGAGCTTTTTAATAGGATGCAATATTGGCTTTTCTATTTTTCCTTAGGAAGCTTTCGACCTTGCCTTTTTTCTTTTATTGCCTGAGTTTGAGTTAGAATTAGGTCTCTTTTTGTTAGCAAACGCTCCAGTACCAGTCATTATCTGATCAAGTACATTGTTTGTTAGTAGTTTAACTTCATCACTGACTTCCTGAAGTATATGTGGATTGAGACTGGAGTGGCTCAATATTCGATGTACATTATGATTGTAGCCCTGGAATGAATGTCCAAATATTTTATCAAATACAGAGCAAACCTTCTACATTTGCTGATCAGATAGTCCATCATACTTTGAAATAATCTTATCTGGAGATAAATACTTGGGTTTCAATTCGAACCGACTGCTAAACTAAACATTCTAAGTTGTTTTAATAATAAAGTCATTCTTATTATGTGAGTTTCATACTCCCATAGAAGTCTTGAGATTATTGCTTCGCTCTACTTTAGCATCACTGTCTTCTATTAACTAGCTAGAGTCATCTTTAGAAAAACTTTTAGTTCTTCTTAATGGGGTTCCAAATGTTTAATTATTCGATGTGGCAAAAGTTCTTCTCTGCTATTCTTGTTAATTTTCCATTAAATAATCTGTAATTTATTTGAAATATTATCACATTCTAACATTCACTGTCTCACGGGGTTTTGGGGTTTTGGGG